AGTTTAACAACTTTCACTGTATTTTAGTCTGAGTTTGGTCAGGCTGCGGTCTCCTACTAAACATACATGATGAAATTTAATGGGGGTTTTTTGCACACAGGAAAGCCAGATAGTGGGGTGAGACATGAAATCTCTTATCAGATGCAGAGGTTGCTTTGTCTTATGGTGACCCGATTCAACAGCCAAGGTGATGAGAGGTCAGGACAGAACAGAGAGAAATTGAAACCAGTCAAAAACAAATCTTCCAGGGGAAGGGGAAAGGAAACAATTTATTCTAGCGAGCAACACTAGGTAAACAGTAGGAATGCTTCGATCAGGATTTGTGCAGCCGATACCAAATACCGATTTTTGTCATCACAATCGGCCAATACCGATCATTCAAGCTTTAAATAAGTGATATGTAAGCTCTCTGTTGACTGTCACTGTTAACCACCTACATACTGAAGACATTTTTAATCATTTCACGTGATTTCAAGTGGCATACTTGGCTTATAACTCTACAAAAAACAGGTATCATCAAGTACATGTCTTTTCCATGTTTTGAGGTTCTTATGTTACAACCCTATTGAATCTGATCCCTTAGCAATTCTAAACATATAAGACTACATATTTCCTAAATTTTTGGCAGATTTGAAATCTATTTTTATTTAGGGGTAGGTGATAAAGGCCTACTGGTTTCAAGGATTAGCCTACGTTAAAAAACTGACAGAAGACAGCTTGGGGAGAGTAGGCTAAATTATTATTTAAATTAGGGTATTATTAATTTGTTTCACATATAGGCTAATATAGGCTTATAGTTAGTTAAACCATTAAAAAAACATTTGAATTACTTAAAATAAATGTTAACTGAAAAAAGGCAACATTTCTCATTTTCATTTAGTTTAACTTGATGCACTAAATTGATTAAAACTGAAAAAATGAATAAAAATATAGACCTAATCTTTTTAAAAACTAAAAAAAAGACAAAAAAACTAAAAAAAAGGAAAATAAAAAAAACTAACTCACAATATTAATAAATGGTCTCTTGATATAAAATACCACTGTAATAAATAAATAAATAATGTAATAGTTTAATACCATATTTGTGATTCAAAAGGTGACTCAAAAACTTTTGCATATTGTATACATATATATCATTTTAATGTTTTCAATTTATTTTTATTTGTTTTTTTGTTAAAGGTGCAGTGTGTAGATTTTAGCGGCATCTAGCAATTCGGTTGCACTAATGGCTCAGCCCACTGCTCACCCCTTCCTTTTGAAGAAGCTACGGTTGCTAACACGGGACAGACATTTCGTCGTCTGAGACAGCAGAGAATAGCTAGAGTAAGCCAAGTACCACAGTCCATTATAAATCACATCATGGACAAAGTTTACAAAGCCATAGTCAGGTGAGGATCAAGGGTCTTAATTAGGGCTGGGCGATAAAACGATAACGATAGTTATCGCGATATAATTTTTCTCGATAAAACGATATCAAGACTTCGATAAATGTTCGATAATGAATTGTACAACATATTGAATTGTATTATATTATTAATGTAGACAATGTAAGGACTAATCGAATATAATAACATTATTTAATAATGTATTTAGGCTCCAGTTTTTCATACAAATACCTTAGAAACCATAAAGTAACATTTTGCCATGATGGTGAGGTGCTATAGGCTATGCCCGGTTTTATCTGTGGTTATCATGATCTAAATGCATGATGCTGGATGACCAATGGTTAATTTTAATAAAACTCAAACAGTCTATAACAGAATATTACATTTTACAATATTACATAACAGAAACATACAATACTCAAACAGAATATTACATTTTACCAAATAAAAATTAGCACATGCAGAAACTAAGAAATATTTTTTTACTATCAAGATATTTATTTTGTTAAGGAAAAATGACACGTTTGAATGATCCAACTCAGATTTTGCAAATGTTCTTGTGTTTGGCAAGTGTTTGTCATGATATGTTCTGACAATAAAGAGTAGTTTAAAACCACAATTAACGCTCTGGTTTCTACAACTTTCACTTAGGAGCAAAAATCTGCCTTTAAACTTGAAAGAAATAATGATTTGACATTTATCGTGATAATTATCGATATCGACTGATATAAAAAAAATATATCGTGATAATTTTTTTGGGCCATATCGCCCAGCCCTAGTCTTAATATATAATATAATAATAGTAATCAGCTGGTTGTCTCACGAATGTAACCAGCACATTCTCCCCACATAGCAAACCCATAATACAGCGAGGGAGAAGAACCACATGAAACTATCCAACTACATATTTTTTCTAACAGGGTAGTAAAAGTTTAGCTGGCTAATATGAGCTGTGAGCTATGATGCTGTAGGGCTGTGGCTGAGCTGGTTAAAGCGTAAAGCATTGTTTATACTCGACGCGTCCGCATCGGTCCGCATGAGCGCAAAGGTGCGCGCGGCAAAAATGACGTGATTGTAACAGCGCGCGCGCCTCCGCATCCCCTAGACACCATTTACTGCACACAAATTAATAAATAATAATGAATAAAAATATTGTTTTTTTTTCTCTGGTTTTGAAAACTCTTCACGATCGACTTAAAATGCTTCCAAGATCGACTTGTCGACCGCGATTGACGGGTTGGTGACTCCTAAACGTTACCGTTTTACGGTCAATAGTACTAATCAGCTGATTGTCAAAGCCATAACACAGCGAGGGAGAAGAACTAAGTTACATGAAACAATCCAACTAGCCTACATATTTTACACCACTGACAAGGGAAAAGTCACTACTCACTGTGTCTATGGCTAGCTTCTAGCTTTCTGCGGCTTCTCTCTCAAGGTAGTGACGAAACGCGCTCTGTAGCGCTGTTTGTTCGCTGTCGGCTACGGTAGAAACATGACATCACAATATGTCAACCTTCATAGAAGGGGGTGCCCGCGGTTATGTAGATATAAATGTCTCATTCTAAGGTAATAAAAACATAACGGTTCATTGAGTAGTTATGGATCTTATATTACATTTCTGTCAATAGATCCTCAGAAATATTACACATTGCACCTTTAATTGTTGTGTGAACATGCACGTTAATTGTGTGAACATGCACCTCCATTCTCCAGTGCTAAACATCTGCCACTGACACCCACTTAAAAACCAACAACAAACCTGTGGAAGAGTGGACAGAGCTCATCTGTGGGGAGGGGTGAGATCACCCAAAATATGAAGCACATCAGATGTCACCTGACAAAGAGCCAATCAACATGATTTCTGACATTTATCTGGCCCCAACCTGTGACCGACCAGCTCCTAAATTATTCAGTATAAGGAGCGGAGTGATTGTGTATGTATGAATGAGGGACACAGAAAGAGAGAGAGAGCTGCTTTGCCTGACATGTGTTCTTAGTGATAAGCTGCTACTCTGTGACCCGATCACAGCGGTGGTGTGCACCTGACACTCTTCTCCAAACTGTTACTCACTGTCGTGCTGTCTCAAGTTATAGGTGCTTGTAATACACCATGCACTATGTGAAATTACATACAATACAATATCAAAACAATTACCGGTAATCATAGGGTGAATTCAGGATGATTGGGACACTTTTTGCCATTGAGATGACTTGGAAAAAGTGTCCCAATCAACCTGAATTCACCTATAAAAAAACCCAGCTTTTTGCATGAGATATTCATGACAACCTGAACTGTATGAAAGTGCATGTTTTGACCACTGTTGAAGAGCAGACGTACAGTGCGACGCCATCTGTTCAGGAGATACTAACAATTGGATATTAACTGCATTCATCTCCTCCTGAAGCTGGGGAAATATTACACCTCCCTCAAGGAGCCAGGTATCCGGCATCGGCATGTTTACTGACATTAATAATGTGGGGAAAACTCTGTAGGAAATGCCATCAGCAGCATCTACCTCAGCTCGTTGAATATGAAAATCTCCCACTCAGAGTTCAGCTCACCGCTGTGCTGTTCTCCCTGCCTGAACGCCCTCAGCCGGATCTCAGTCAGTCTGTCTGTCTCCATGAGCAAACAAGCCTCAAGACAACGTCTAACCACAACCAGGCAAATTAATAAAAGCTGCTGCATGCTTCCTTCATTAATAAGTAAACACGTCATTTTAAATATCATAACCGTTTTAAAAGGAACGACATCAGTATATCAGCAAATCATTAGCAATAATTTGACAAAACAAAAGAAAACAAACCATTATGGCTCATTAAAATGAAACTCCTTACTGTAGTGAGTGTTAACATTGAAATTATTTCGAAAGAAATTCAGTAGCAGGCAGTATTAACAGTTACACGGAATTAGTTAAATGTTAATGTTAATGGGTGTTTTAGTCGTATTAGGTTTATGTTGTAGGGGTATAAGACAAAAAGATTGATTTAAAACTGAACCAGATAGAGACGGTGTGCAGCTCGTTTTCAGCGGAACTCGGCGGCTATACAGACGGAGCGCGCGGCGCGTTCATCAAAAGGTGCCGTCGGGCTGTTATTTTACTGCATATTTTACGCTTTTGTGTTTTCGTTTCACTTCAGTGGTGATTCACAATATACATTTTGTTATTTTAAGGCAAATAACGTTTTGGGTTGCGCGCACAGTTATACTAACGTTACAGCTTTTCCGATGATAACGTAAAAGTTTTAGCACTTTTCTATTCATTCATCTTTCAAGGTCACTTTTAAACGGAATTTTGCGTTTACTCAGCCGTTACTTTGATGCCAAATATCCATGTTTCAAACTAACAATTGTTTTAATTTAACTTTCTAGGAACTTATTTGTGTTTGCCATTTTATTTATTTGGGCTGAAAAATATACACTACATATACTGTGCTAAACTGTCCGTTTACGTTAGATGTAAGTTAACGTATAAGAAATAAGCTGTTACATGTATCTTGACAAACATACTTCATGCTAAGAGCCCTTGGAAATGTTTCTTTTTCTCATGAACTAGTGAGCAGTGAAACTTTCACCTGTCAGGCTGATGTAGCCTAGGTAAATCTCTCTACCTGGTTAGTTGTATCCTGTGGCAGGTTCTTAATAAGGATCTTCCTCCTGTTGCTCAGCTCTCTGCGAGTTTTCTCCAGCCGTTTCTCGATCTCCTCGGGATCAAGTTCCGGTAGATCTCTAAGGATGGTGATCCCCTCGGATGCTGCGTCCTCTTCCTGTCGGCTCGCGGGGCTGTCGGACTCCGGGTGAGGTGAGTTTTCCCGCTGTATCCCGTGCACGCTCGGCGGCTGGATGGATGAAGCTGCCGCCATTTTGAAGCGCTCGGTGGAAAGTGAGTCGGAGAGAGCGGATAGGTGGGCGTCTGTGCTTTGAGTCAAACCACTCTAGATAGAAAGTAAGTGAGGATGAGCCCCGACACAGTACAGCTGGCGACCTCCACCGATGAAAAACTAAACACATTCTGAGTGACTGTCAGTCTCCTTTTTTATCTTATTACCAGGACCGTATTTAATTTTTTTTTTTTAAAGATTATTCTGAAAAGAGCAATATGTCATACGACAGCAAGTAAAACATTAAAAAAAAATAGTAACACATAACAGTCTATGATAATAACGATGTAATAAAATAATATAGGCTAGTTCTAGTGTGCAGATATACCTAGGTTATTAACAAATATTAAAAACATTATCAATATTTAAATAAACCTATTTATTTATTTATTTATGCAAATCATTTTTAAAGCACATGCAGTTAAAGTCACTATGAAATCAAAATTGACAACTCTTTTTTATGGAATGCAATATTTATTATAAATTATTTATCCGTGTAAATCATTATTTAAAAAATGTATGTGCCCCCTTCCCCTCCTACTTGCAAGGACATCCCTTCTCTTCTCTGATGAGGTGTTTTTCGTCGTGAGGGCGGGACAACCTGTCAATCATATGAGATCACATTAGAAAATGACAATGATTAAGGATCCAATCAGTTCCCTGTGGACAAAATCAACTCCTCCCCTGCATTTTTTTTTTCTTGTTAGAGAAGCTGCTTCATTTGGATAGGCTATACATCACAATACGGAAAAGCCTATCGCAACTTCTGTTTCATTCCAACTTTAAAGGTAGGAGATTTTTTTTTTACTGGTTTAAACTCTCTTCACATCCTGATAGCATCAATAGTAGAAGTGGTCTAAATATAAAAAAAAAATTATATATATTTCTGTGGAAGTCTCAGGAACCAAAAATGTTCGTCCAATCATTGCATTCTGTCCGAACGCAATGATACGATGTCCTACCTGCCTTTCAGCACACCCGCTTGTGCAGACATTACACATCATTGGAGCGTTCCGTAAGGCTATGAGGTCCGATTAATCTGCACCGATAAAATTCATACCGATAGTTTTTCCAGGTTGCGTCAGTTGCTGGAGCGGCTGAGAAGGGTCCGCTATCATTAATACGAGAGCGGTCAGAGGCGAAATAAAAACTATCACTGACGCCTCGTGGAGTTTGTTTTGACACGCGAGGCAGCGCGAACACTTCAGAAACGGATTTAAAACATAGACAACAAAATAGTATACAGTACACTACTTTATAATGATATGAAACATGTACTATAATTAATTTGTTGACTAGATGCTGCGTTAGTAGAGAAAGAACAGCAGTAGGCTATGTTTTCCGCCGAGGCTGAGAGAATGCTAACATTAGTAGGCCTACCTCAAACGGTTAAAACAATGTGACAAAAAAGTTTCTGGCCCAAATGTTTAATGTCACAATTGTTACAATCTATTTACATTAGTTTAATGTCTATTTGTTCGCTTTTTGCTGCATATTTAAAGCTAGTGACATGAGAAAGCAAACTGTATCATCATGCAGTCAGAAACATAACATATCAGAAACGCATTTGATTTGAGTTATTTTTTCATCGTGTAATACATATTTTGATTAGATAGAATTATCAAGTGCTCTAAAATAGAATCAAATAAAGTGTGAGTATACATTACATACAATATACATTATCTAATACCAGTGATATGGCCTTTGTGTAGATATTTATAAATGGCCATCTTTAAGCATTAGGCTACTGTTTGAATTTATATGAAATGGTAACACTTTAAAATAAGAGCCCATTTGTAACTAAGGTTAATAAAAGTATGAGCTTATGCTGCGTTCACGGCATGTTGTAACCGTAATTACGAGATGGCAACCCGTAACGTTCTGCCCTGAGCCGTGTATGTCTTCAGACTCGGATTTTTGGATTTCTCTGTCGAAATATTGCTAGCCTTTCCGAAATTGCCTACCCTTTAGGTGTAGTCACAGTGAAATTTTAGAAAAATTTGTCCATTGTCTGTAGTCTGTATAAAAGTACAATTACATTTACTGTTGTTCTGTAAATTTTTGTAGGGGAAATCGAGTTATTTCAATTGGAATTCATGCGATTGACATTTTCGTGTAAGTGCTAAGGATTTCCCCACACAGATCTCAACGGGTTCAAGTCACAAAAATGTGTTGCATTGACCAACAGAAAGCTGTTTGGTTTGACAATTACTTTTGTGTGAGCTGTGCTTCATACATCGACACACAATTGAAAATAGACAATTGACTTGTCTAAAAAAATAATGTGACTATACCTTCCCAGCAAGCAATTTTGCGTTTAAAAGACGTCTAATAGCCATCCAAACACAGCCCTGACGACTAAACAAGACAAAATTTGGGCTGTCAGTGAAAAGTTAATAGACAACTAACTATAGCCCAAGAATAGACGCACGGGCTACGCATAAACATAAGAAATGGAACTGCCTTTGTTTGCTTACATGATGGAGTATTATACATCTCGCAAATTATTGTGGTAAAAAAAAAAAAACATCACCAAATTCAAGGTTATTTTGGCTAGAAGTGGGTTACTCATAGCCAGACTATATCGGGTCTATTGTTAACCTAGTCTTAGACGATGAAATGGCTATTGTTTGCTGGATTAAAGCTCAGCTCACACTAAGTCACTCAAATCAAGAAGCTTTCTGTCGGCCATGTGAAAAACTTGAACATGAATAATATCTGCATGGGGAACTTTTTTGCCCGCACGCAAGACTCCTGATTGTGTGGGTTCATATTGAAACAACTGGATTTCGCCAAACAATGTGTGATCACACTTTTATTGATATTCAGTATAACAGTAGGCTAGCTTATTTTGGCAGAAAATTTCATTGGCGTTTCTAGAGTGCCATTCAACTTTTCACTTGTGTTTGTATCACTTCGTGTTTTCATGTTTCCAAAATTCTGTCCAAAAGTGGCATCATCATCAACAATCATTCACTCAACCAATTTTGTTAAAAAATACAGAATAACTCAGGAATGAAACACCACTGCTGTGTTTCTCAGAGATGCATTTTCATTTGGAACTATTTTTCACTGATGGAACAAAAAATTGTAACTGCCAATAATATTTCTAAAAATGTAAGATTCATTATTAACTTGTTTATTGAACTGTTGCATGAAAGAATAAATAAACTGGACAAGATGACATTTATAGCTCAAAAATCATTTAGTCTGTATGCGTGGAGAGCTTATGTATGGCAAAAACATCTGAAGCCATGCCTGCAGAAAATCATGCATGCCTGACAGATCTTTTGACTCGTTATACACTGGGTCTGGTGTGGAATGAATGACTTGTGCCATCTCTAGTGGGTGTGCTAAATGCCATCTCCTGGCAGACTCCATCACAGGATTCCTTATAATGTCCCTGAATGAACGCTTTCAGTTTCAGCAGCTACACATCCCACATCAACAATATTTACAGACCCGTGCGTTTGACTCTTTAAGAATGAGGATAGGCTATCACATATTGCTCTGATCCTGGATGGGGGGTTCCAACACGAGAGCTATATTCAAATAACAAATTTAAAAAGTTTTATTTAGCGTGAAATAACCTGTGCAATTTAGGACGTTGCGGTTTAAAGCACACGGAAATGTAAAACATAGCCTATTTCAAAATAAACCGCCACTGCAATGCTTGATAAATAGGCCTACAATTATCAGTAGCCTACAGTGCGCGGATTAATGATTCCATCATTGCACAGTGCACACGGGCGATTTTCCACCATCACTAAGGCTGGGAAGTTTCAGAAAGACCCTAACATATACGAGTTCATCTGAATTACCTGAGCATGAATTGAAGCAGTGATTCAGCGCGTCTCTGAGTGGGAGTGAGAGAGAAGACCAGAATATTTCAATGGCTCAGAAAAGTAGTGCGTGGGCACTCGAGCGAGTGTTGGAGCGGGCAGATCGCGCATCTGGGACGCGCGTGTGTTTATGAAAAGGGGTGATGTGAACCTTCAACTCCTCACCGCGAGCTGTGTTTATTGCGTAGGCTGTGTGCGTGGGCGGCGGTATCCGAGTCGTGTGTGTGTGTGTGTGTGTGTGTGTGTGTGTGTGTGTGTGTGTGTGTGTGTGCGTGCGTGTGTGTGTGTGTGTGTGTGTTTGGTCTCAAGCTTCGCGAATCCACGGGCGATTTATTCATTTATGCGCGACTGTCTGATTTCACAACTGATGCATACATTTTGAGAACAATAAGTAATAAAAGTGAACAGTTTGCACATCTCACAGGATAGACTAGGTTTGCCTCGCGGTAATGACAGAATGAGAGAAGCATTTTGAGAAGATGCTGGATCAGCTTCGACTAACTAACTCGAATCCTTCGAGTCGGATTCTTTTCAATGAATCAGTTTAACCGGTTCATTAAATGGGTCTAAACCATAGACTGTAAAAAGGTCTAAACATTTTAGTCAATGGGTCTAAGCATTTAGTTCACGAATCGCACTGAAGCGGTCCGAGTGAACCCGTAATGAGCCGACAACTAGCTAATTAGTTCATTCTAACTGAATGATTGTAAACGCATTGACAGGCCTACTGAGGATTTGACTGATTTGGGGTTTGAGTTGGTTTTAATAGGCTAAATGGCATTAGGCGTATTTAGGCCTAACATGTAAAAACCCTTTACATCCGTAATGTAGGCTAAATGGTTATGCAAATTACTCTAAATTCTTTTTGTTTGTTTTTAGCAATCCAAATAAATAAACTGAACACATGAAATTACAATAAACACTCTTGTTAATAAAAATTAATAGGATTTTTTTTTTTTTTTTTTACATATGGCATTTTGGAACATTTTGAGGGTATGTACATTCACACACCATGTCGTAATCAGTGTTGGGTAAGTAACTCCAAAAAAGTAATTAATTACTAGCTACTAATTACATTATCAACAGTGTATTAAGATTAGCCTACTGTAGCCTACTAAATACTCTCTAAAAGCTATTGCATTACTTGTTACTAATACTTTCTAAATCCCATATCAACCTCGACCAGTTGAACAATACAAGGATAGACATGAAACTGCTCTTTTA